GCTGAGGGGCTGAGGGGCGGCAGCGGCGGCCGTACGAGGCTGGCGCCGCTCGGCCGGGGCGGCAGTAGCTGCGATCCGCTGTCCCCGAGCCCAGGGCGTGAGGCCCCAGCGGCTTCTTCCAGCACTTGGGCCTGTGCAGGAGCCGAGGGGAAGCGCCGTCACTGAGCACTGCAAGAGCTTATCCTAAGTGAGAGGCCTGCCCTGTCCCTGATGTTGGATAGTCTGGGCGGAGAGGTGAAAATGATCACCTGCCTGAACCAAATATAGCAGTATCCATCATAAAATTGTTTATTCTGCATCATTTTATAAAGCTACTGACCATCACCAGGATGAGCACAGTGGAGGATTTCTGCTTCTCATGGCCAGTRCTTTCCAGAGTATCAAAAATGCTACACCTCTACTCCAGCCAAAACAGCAATGTAACTTGAGTTACAGGGCTTTTTTTTTTTTTCCTTCTAAAAAGAAAAACTCAAAACCATGTAACAAAGCACCAGGGCCTAAGCAGGGTTACCTGTAAACCGCAGTTGCTCAGTAAGCCTATTAGAGGCTGTCTATTGACAAGCCTTCACAGATCAATTTCATCGTCACAAAGCCTGCATTTTTCCTCCTCTCCAAATTTCTAGCACTCAAGGCTGTGATGAACTTGCTCCAATAAATGATTGCGTTTCAAGCTTCTAATTATTCTTTATCAACTCTCATTACCTCTCAGCAGCCTGAAGAACCAGGTTCCTATTTTAAATATATAGCCTCTCCCCTCCTTCAGCACTCCCATTCTCTCTGATGCTGCTGTTCCAGGGATATATTTTTCTTTCTTTTGACCCTGATTTGCAGACTCGATGTCTAGTAACTTAAGTAAGTGCAGAAGGAAAAAAGACACCTGCTTCCTCTTCTACCTTAAATCTTTGGGGTTTTACTTGATCTCCATCTCACCACCAGAGAACTTTGCTTTCTGGTAGTGTGCTTTCTAGTAGAGCTATTTAATCAGCTCTATTAAACTGTGATCCCTCTTGCAATTTTTAAACTACTGTCTTCAGCAAGGTGTATTTCTTTGCCTTCAGGAAGGTGGTAGACTAGAAAAGGGAAATAGTATCTTTAACACTGATGACAACGTAAGCTATGTATCATACACTCGTCCTATTGCAGATTTAAGGTATATGGTCCATCATACCAAAATGGCAATGTGTGTTTGTGAACCTAAGTAAGTTAATAGGGTCAGAGAACTGTTCTTCACTCATGAGATTAAAATCAGCATGGTCTTAGCCTGTGAAAAGCTAGCTAAAAAGAATGGAATGTATCAGTTAACACGAATCCCCAGTTCAATTTCAGAGAAGGGCAGGTGTGAGGTACTTTTCTTCTGCCCTTCTCCTTTCAAAACAAGAAACTGCTATTGGATTTTGCCTTCTGATATTATTCTGTCTAATCTGATGGGCTACTAAGAAACAACAAGCAATACCAGCACTAAGAAGGTTTTTATTTTTGCACACTGTGTTCAGCTGCCAGTTATATAATGGGTTACATGGCAGCAGCTCATAATTAGATAATTATGGGGAAAAATAGCCGTAAACAAAACGGCCTTCTGCTTTTCAAGTAACAATCACAAGAACATTGAGAGCATATCAGCTGTAAGTAATTCTTGAGCAACTACTATGATGAAAACAGTATCTTCAAGCTCTGCTTAGATAAAACGGTACATATTTGTTCATACAGGAAACTTCATCAAACTCCTGTTTCAACAGGAGATGGGATAACATTAGTCCTTGCTCCCTCCACACACCCCAACCAAATATCTTAAAACACTTTAGCACAGAACCATTGTACTGTTTGCTTAAAGTTTAATCACTCCTTTATTCTCCCCTTCAGTTTTAAATATAACTAACACAAGTAGGATTCTTTAAGGCTTTTTTTTTTTTTTTGCCTAACTACAACTGTCAGTAGTTAAACCAAACCAACCAGTCCCCATTTGTTTTATGTCTGTTTTACCCTATGCCAGTAGGTGCAGGGACAGTGTGCAGTAGATGTAATAAAGTTCTATCGTATGCACACTGTTCACATAGCCACTTCAGTATCGGAGTTTGCAGCTCACCCTCACATATCACACTTGCCTTGTCCTGTTACTGTCTAACACCTAAACATCTTACCTAAAACTTCAAAGCATTTATAGCCATTGCCTATCTAACCCTCACAGCAACCCTGAGGTACATGCTATTGTCCTATTTTACAGATGGGGAAACTGAGGCAGGAGTATTAATGGCTTGTCCAGTACTGCAAGTGAGAGCCAGTCTAAGTGTTTCCACTTCAATATTGTGGTTGTAAATTGGTCATATCTAAGATACCAAAATCACGGCAACAAGAAGCTGTATTTCAGAATATTAAGCCACTATTACTTTTACTATTATTACTACAGACTACAAATCAGATATGCCAGCAGTTCTATACAAGAAGTGAGAGATTCCAGGTGAAACATGGGATTAAGAAAGGGTGGTAGAAAATAATTCAAAAGCCAACCAGTGATCAATTCTGTTTAATACTAGGAAAGCCAAAAAGACACTCTTCAGACCAAAAAGTATTAATCAAGAGAAAAAAAGAAAGAAAAAAAGAACAAGACATTTCGAAATGGTTTAAGCTGACATTATGTTGTTTTATTTAAGATTTCACAAAAGAAATACTTTATAAAACTAAAACCAGTTAACCCAGCCACTATCAACAGAGGGTGGTATAAGCAAAAGACACTAGGTCAGAACCTGCAGTGAAGAGCCATCTGTTCCTGTCACTGGAATCCTGTACTACCAGGATACTTCACTGGGGGATGAAGATGGAGAGAACTGGGGTTTTATAGCAGTTCCGAGAGGCACAATAGCTCCTCCTAGTTGGTGTTTTTCGTCTAGTTGTTATCTAGGTCTCCTCTGTATCATAAGTGTAGCAAGGATTTACTGATTTCGGAAAGGACCAGCATAGCAAAGGCAAAAAAAAAATTTCAACTGAATTTTATGCAAATTTCTTCTAAAAAGGTACTCTATTTTAAAATTAGACCATCAAACTGATTACTTAGTTAACTTATGTGGGACTTCCAGTTTCATTACTGAAAGGAAGATGCATACACAAGGCCTTAGCAAGCTCTGTGCTAAATAAAATCTATAGGGGCTTTGGGAAGATAGTTGCATGTTTGCCTGAGTTTTGGTTGTGGGAGAGCAGGGGTGGGAGGATTTGTTCAGTTATTGTGCAGGAATCCTATTTCCTGCCCCCTTCCAAATATTTTGTTGGGTGGTGAGACTAAAGGTGAGAAGGAATAAGGTAAAGCAATAATCTTAATGCTTTACTAAGGTTCTGATACAGTAGGACACAGAACCTTGCACAAATATAAACAAAGTACTTGCCTAGAGACAGCTTTGCCTGTTTTTATCATGCCCAAGTTAAACCTGGTCAATACAGGGGCATCTGTCAAACCATCCACCCTATCCCCCCCAGGGGCTCTCTCCCCTGTGAAGAGTAGATGAAGGCAAGAAACCTTCCTTCTACATTTTCCTTCTGAAAAGGGCAGGGCAGTGGGAGAAAGGAAAAAAACCAAACAAGAAACCAGACTATTCCAAAGATGCATTTTGGTTTAACAAATGGGCAACTTTCCCTTGTAGAATAAACCTTCCCCTCCAAAAAGGGATATTTCTTTTCTCCTATAACCCACGATAAATTAAAACCAAGTAAGAAGTCTCTGGTTTGACACAATAAATACTTAGAATATAGCAAATTAAAAAATATAGTTACAAAACCCTCGGTGGAATTCTCTTTCTGACCTAAACCGCAGACAGATTCTTCACAGACAAAAAGTATCTCCAAAATCAGCTGCAGCTCCTCTCCTCTCCCTGTTCACTAGGCTTGGTCAACAAGTGCTATCACGTACCCTTTGGAATACTGTTAAGACAAAAACAATATAAGCACAAGAAATCTACTCCTAAATTTGTTTTTCGTACCGCCAAGGGTGTAGGAAGCAACCATCTGTGGGAACCCTCATTGTAGTGCACAGTGACAGAGTCACAGCACTACAGTAACATGGACAGGGAGACCAGGGGGAAGAACAGCCATAGCAAAGGAAGGAGAGAGAACCCATAAAAGTTGGGACATGAAAATACAAGCACGAAAGAGACAGAAAAAGACCAATTCAGTCCAGTTGGACTTCCCAGTTCTGGCAGTAGAGCACATGAGATGTTGAACAACAGGAAGAGTTCCTTGGGGTCTGTCAAAATTAGGAATGTTGTTGGCATTTTCTTCGTCATTGACAGGGAGAAAGTAGAAGTTAACCCTCT